GCAGCGCAGCTGCAGCTGAAAAGCTGAGAATCTGCAGCTGCGCCAAACAGGCCCTTAGGAACATGGGAATTTTCAAGCTAAGATAAAAAACAGGGTCAAGAGAGTAGATCAAGTCTTAAATATGACGCACTAGGCAATATTTATATACCATTATAATTGTTGACATGCACAAAAATCTAATCAAAGCATTATGTAGAGCATTGTTCCCAGTGTAGAAATTAAACAAGATCATAGTATCTATTATTTCTCCTTTATTATTAAGTTGAGATAATAATGTTAATTCTCTTATTCTTACTATAAGTTGCTCTTTAAATTTACAAGAAAATATAGAAACTAAATGCATATTTGATGGAATCAATGAACAATGTAAGCTCGCTAGGAGCCACGGAGGACTCACAATGATCACTCTCCCTTGCCTTGTTTGGGCCTAAAGATCACTGGCCTAACCACTCATTAGGTCAATAGGAACTATTTTCCCCCACATACTCAAAAACAAAAAATTTCATCAACAAATCAACAACTCCTAACCACTCTGCTGGGAAGTTATTCCAGCCATTATGTTCACATGTTTGTAACTACCCTCTCAACCATTTCTTTTATTTTTATCTAAGTGATTAGGGGGTAGCATTGCACTAGCTCCCAAAATCCAATAAATAAAAGGTTAATAACCCAATTTTTAGAGAATGATCTTTCATAGTTTTTTGTGCTAGCAATAGAAATCCCATGGACTCTCTCTAAGAACTTTCCTTCCTTTTTATTTCTCTACCCATTTCTTTTTTCCTTATTCTGATATCTTTTCGTTTTCCACTCGAGACCTTGAAAGCCTTTTTAATAGGGTCATAGCATATCCACAAACAAATCAATATCCAATATATAACGAGGTACAAAAATTTTGAAAAAGCATATACATCATAATATTTTACTTGGAAGTCATTTTTATATAACCACTTCTAAACAGATAAAAAAACTATCTAATTAGAACCTCACAACAATTTCTTATCAATAACACATTCATTCACAACCTAGAAAACAAACATTTGATAACCAAGATAGCTATTCAATCTAATAATACAGTACTTTAGATGGACAGCACATGAGAACTTCATTTCAGAATTTGTTAGAAACTAAAGTGGTATTAATTCCGAAATGCAATAAGTTTCATGAAATTTTATGAATGTTCAGAGGATGCGAAAGCCATGTTCCGTCGTATTTTTTTTCCTGCATTTAATTCTTTGTTTTTAAAAGCAATTACTTATGTTAGAAAACATGTTTGAACAGCTATTTCTGTCTTTTGTTCTATGAAAAAAACTGACGTGGTTTCTAAAATTTTTAAAACACCATTTGAAGTGTTCCAACTTGTTTTGAAATACTTCTTATAAAAAAAAGAAACAAATACACACTCAAACATATTAGTATTTTTAACTACTAAAAAAAACAAATCAAACATTCCCCACCCGCACTGGCATTTTTCATAAGCCAATATCCTTAAGTTTTGCATATTATCGTTCAGTAGGTTATTTTTAAATCACGACGCTTTTGCAAAGCTTTTATTTCAAATATCTAGTTAAAAGTAATATGGTGAAATGAAAACAGTCTGCTGTTCAAAATAGTAATATAACTTAAAAGGAAATTGCTTTTTGTAACATGACAAACTTTTCTATATGTCAAGATTTTATGCTAACAAATTCACCAATCAAGTGATTTCAGACACAAACCACAAGGAAAACTATGAAATTACTGACATGAAAAGTAAAATGAAAGTTAGGGAAAATACTTGAATTGATTAATTGCATCAGAAACTGCTGAACCAAGCACCATGTATTTATCAGGAATGGATAACCGAGTGTTTAATCCAGACACTAGAACAATGTCCAGTAAGTTAACAGCTCCCAGACCAATATGCGCCAGCCTGCACGATTAAAAAAAAAAATTAGCTGAAAAAAATGTTTCTGAGAAAATATAATAAATGTTTCTAAAGCAAATGAGAGATATTTCTTCAAAAAGTTTGGCCAGACTAGGCATACAAGAGTACCACAACCAAAATCACTATAAATAAATTTATCAAACATTAAACTAAATATTAGGCTCACAATAGCTATTAAATATACTTTTATCAGTACTAACAGTCAGATGACAAAGAAAAACAATGAGTTTTGAGCCAAGGCAAAAAATTGAGAAGGCTGGGTAATGGAAACATTAAAACTTATATTCATCAGAAATACAAGTTGTGTTTGTTTGAGATGAGCAATTGGATGATCTGAGCATTGTTTCTACTTGGTTACAATAGATTTCATTTTATGTCTCTTCATTTTATATTTTGGCACAACATTGCCAGGATGATGATCTTGTAGAAAACATAATATGTTCTCAAATGTTTAATTTGATTTGATTGAGTTTGTTGTTTGTTTAGTTATTGGCTTTCTTAGATCTGCTCCTGTTGTTCCCTGTAGATGTTTACCCCTTCTTGTCTTGCAATAGTTTACTATTGTCCTGCAACTGTTTACTGTTGCTACTTAATTTCTTGTTGCACTATTCCTTCTGCCATTGGTCTCGTGTCTGCCAACAGGGGTTTGACTCAGGTAGCCAAGGCTAGCATGATTGCTGATTCTGGCGAAGGTGACTGACTTGCGATTGTAGCATTGTTGTTACAATTATGCTTTTTTATTGAAATTGTGACTTAAAATTTTATGGATTGTAGTTTATCCTGAGGTTTTTGCTATGCATCTGATTTTGAATTTTGTTTTGATTATGCATATGCATATTGGGGCATTAAAAAACAATTAATTACTACATAATTTTTTTTTCCTCTCAAACATGCTGTTTGGATGTAGATTCTTTAAATGTGGTGTGTTTGTGTAGATAGACATCTTCTATGAGATATTACAATTTGCATTAATTAAAATAAAAAAATAATAAAACATACAACAAGCTGCTAGTAACAAACTCACAAAAAACTCTATCCCTCTAAACAAAAGAAAGCAAGGGATTACTATAATATAAGTTTTTAACAACAAAACTATCTTGTAAGATGAGCTGAGCATAAAAATGAGCAGTCTCATTGTTAGATCTAGTAGTATAAGAAAAAAAGCACATGACATCTTCCACATGCAACGGTTATACAATTTGGATTTCTAATCATGGCATGTTTTATGATCATCATGATTTTCAATTAACCTGGCTTTCTTTAATAATTGGAGATCATTATCGTTAAGACCAGTTTCATATGTATTTTGGTTTTAATCCAAAGGGGCGAGTTTTTATCTAGCCCAAGATTCATGATAGGACATCTTCACTCTAGAATAATGCAATAGAGTTGGAATCAGACTTTATGATCGTGCCAAAATATCAGCTAAAAGTGGGGCATAATATCAATGTCAATTAATAGATCTTCAAAGGGATTTGAGTTTTAACAATTCTGCAAGACTAATCAGTTGAATTACTGTATAAAAATATAAATAAATATAAATCAATTTAAGAAGTAAATTAACAATTGAGAAACAAACTAATTTCATCCACAATAACATGAAGTTATCATTATGATGAACATGTTCATTTGAATATTAACAGTACTTAGACAATAAACTAATCGTGCAAAAACTAATCAAGATTGGCATCATAGGGTACATGATAATGAAACTTATGCTAATCAGGGCATCAACTTTATAGCATAGAGTTTGGCGTAAATAGAAAAGTTAAAAACATTCACATTTGAAGGGAAAATGGATCCAAAGGTAAATAATATGGATAATTTCTTTGAACAATAGACAATATTAGGTGCGCCAAATGTGAATCATAAACGAAAAATGTATTGAATAAACATAAGAAAATAAATGGAAAGATTTGGTAGAGCTCTTACAACTATTTCAACAGAAAAGAAAGCATTATTAAAATAAAGATGCTCATCTTCATGATTGATAATAATTGATGAGTTCACCTTATCAAAATAAGGAACAAAGATTCAATATAAGAATAAATTTAAAGAATTATTAATGCACTAGAAAACAATAAAGGATTTTAAAGCAATGTTACCAAGTTTTAAATTTGGAGTGAGACCTAATATTAAAAGAGAAATAACACCGCATTGCATTCCCCTTCTTGAGCACATTTTTCAACTTGCAATAAACTTTTAGCATACGATTTCTTGTACCTTGCAGAGTTACTACTTACACTAGAATATTTCATCAAAATAAGCAAAATCACTCTGTCAAGCATTGCATCTTAGAAAATATAACACTACAAATATGTTATTACATTTGGCTCTAAATATCTCTGGTGAAGCCTCATTCAAACGTCATATGATTGGCGCAAATTCACAAATTAATATCCTAGAGGAAATTTATACATTGATAAAAATTAAGTGAAAAAGAAGAATAATGAGGCGGATAATATTCGAGAATTTGAAGATAAAAATTAGCGATTTGAAAATGTTTTGATTGAAAGTTCATTAAATGTTAAAAAACGCGTCATTGAAACACCTAAAGTCATAGCTTCAATTTCTCATACATATTTTAAGCTTGATGATAAACTATATAAACTCAATATTAATAGGAGTGGCATAAATATTATTGTTAAATCTTCCATTGATCACATAAATTCTAAAGTTAAACCACACCCACAACTATTTTTTTAACATTGATTCTTGAATTGTCATAATATAGGATTAGTCCAACCAAACATACTAAGCTTACAAGTAACTGAATTACTTAAGAAAGGATTTTTTAGGGCGATAATGAATCCTTGAGCAATCCCGCATTAGTCGTGCCTAAGAAAGATGGCAATTGGAGGATGAGGGGATGGAAGCATTTCATAAAATCTCCATCAAATATCAAATTTCTATACCTAGATAGAATGATATACTTGATATAATGACTAAAGATGTTATACTTTCATAAATGGATTTGAGGTGCGGTTATTACTGATTAGAAATAAATAGATTGATGACTAGAAAAATACTTTTTTAAAATGAAGATGATATGTATGAATAGATGGCGATACTTTTGGATTGACTAATCAAACAAACAAATATGTGAAAATCATATATCATATTTCACTTTCCATTTAAAATTTTTCGGTTGCATACTTTGCAATAATTTGATTTAAAGCAATATCAAAAAGTCTCATTTTGGGCATCCTAGAAAACTCTTCAAAAATTACAAACTAGTGAGTTAAATATGAATATGAAAAAGTGTGAGTTCGTTATATTATTTATAATATTATCATATTTATTTTTTCAAATACTCGATTATATATTGACCTTAAAAAAGTTAAGCAATAAATAATTGGACAACACCAACTAATTTGTAGGAGATTCAAGTTTTCATGATCAAACTATTCTTTATAGAAGATTCATTAAAGGATTTACTAATATAAGGGATATTTTGAATGGATAAAAATTGATGACTTTGATTTTAAAAATACTAAAAATGAGAAAAGTGTCAAAATGGTACCCTGATTTTTTGTCAGGGGCCATTTTAATCCTAGAGTATAAAAAAGTGTCAATTTATTCCCAGACTATTTTAAATGGGGGCTAAAATAGTCCTCCCTAGGGACTATTTCGACCCATATTAAAAGAGATTTGGGAATAAATTGAAACTTCTATAAACATTTGGGCTAACATGACCACCCATGTAAACAAGCAGGAGACTATTTTGGTACTTTATTAATGATAAACTTAAAAATGCATCTGTACTTAACAAACTCGATTTTAATAAGCTATTCAAGGTTTTTTTTTTGTGATGCATCAAGTGCAGAAATTAAGAAGAGACATGTGATTGCTTAAATTAGAGAGAATTTGAATAAGGTTGTACATCAAGACAATGCCAGCTGAAATCCTGGGGAGATCCAACGGTTCAGAAGAAAGGAAGTACAACAAAGGAGAGCCCACCGACAGGGGACCGAGAGACGCCACTTATTCAATTGATTGTAGCCATCCAAGCCAAGGACAAAAGTCAACTGAGCCAGGAGAAAGATCAAAAAGAACAATCCAAGTCCGGGTCAATCAGGCTTAGACAGACAAATCAAACCCAAGAAAATAATCCAGTTCCTTACTATCATCAGTAGTACCATGGATGCCCCAAGATGTATTGGCAAATAAACATAGCCTCACGATCATCCCGAAGAACCTACCTCGTTAAGGGACAAATTATCCGTCGAGTTACAATGATCCAATCTCTGCTTCATAGTCTAGTCTCATTCTACCTACAAGTCTTTCTCATCTAAGGAACGAGAATCGACAATTAGACTAGACCAACCAATCGGTAAATTCATGTTAATCAAGTCAGTCCTACTGACCCAAAGTCAATTGAATCCAGCCGACCGACTGCGCTGACCCAACCAAGCCAATCGAACCGGTTTTATCGAGCCAAATCATGCTAGCCCAACTGACCAGTTCGGCAGCCAAGAAATAGCTCAAACATATAAAATAACTATAATATCCTATAACAGCCTCATTAAAGAAAAGACATAAATGTAAGATCACATATTGTATCATCTCCTCTATAAATAGGGGGATAATTTTAGTAAAGGAGATAGAAAAGATGTTTTACTTTCATTTTCTCTCTCTGTTTATCTATCTCTCTCATTTTTTTACGCTCTAATCTTTGGAGTGTGATTCACAGACTAATTGGGATTCAACATCCTAAAAGGTGTGGTGAGCATGGATCATGCCACAGATAAGAAAAGTAGCATGCAGAGAAGAAACTCACAATTTTGACATCGGTAAAATAGATTGCACTAGAGAATTCATTAACCAACAGAACTTGGAGCTGAAAGATCAGATGTTGGACGCCATCCAAGAAGCATTAGCTCTGAGAAGGGAGCAACATCCCCGATAAGAAGGGTCGGCACCCAACGGCTGAAGGACACCTTAACCCAAGATAGAGAAAGAGATTCCTAGTACTTTGACAGTTC